AAATTCCAGTCAGTCTAAACTCATCATTAACATGTCTGCACCCCAGTACATGGAGTGTGAATTACGCTTGTGCTGTGGCTCGTTTGCCCTGCCTGGACCACTCAGCAAACTATAATGGTCACACCGATTCCCTTAACTACAACACCATGTTCAATGTACTTGCAACTTCAACTAGCAAGAAAGCGGATCAAAATGAGACACAGGAGCTTGAAAATTGTAGTACATGCTCAGAAAATAGATCAAGGAAAACATCTGGATCACCGCTTAAAGGGGTCATTTAAATTTATCTACTTTCTTTTTTTAAACATCTGAGCATACATTTCTCTGCTATGTGCATTCCAGCACAATGCTTCGTAATTCTTAAACTGTCCAAGTTACTAATGCAGTACAGCACATATATGGTTTATTAAAAAATTGTACATTTTGTGTTTGTGAAGCTAACATTCAGCCAAGGAAATATTTTATACAATGAAAGGTGCTATTTAAGAACACATCTTTAGAAAAGGTGAAGCATAAAACTAGTGATATCATAGCAAAATAAATAGCCCTAAGTATTTCAATTAAAGACAATCCCTGACAGAAGAAAAAGAGAATAGAAATGAAGGTGACTAAACAAAAAAATGAACTGATACTCACTGCTGCGTTAGGGAGATGAGGTGAAAGGCTTGGTGTATTTGCTAGGCTTGGTGGAGCTGACTGCAGCATTGACTGCCAAACAGAATGACATTGTTATCTCCCCTGGCCAACCCTCTCTCTCTCTGCCTCTCTCTCTCTCTCTCTGCCTCCTGCTCTCGCCAGATCCCTGTGGCAGCACAAACTGCACACCTCAGCAGTGCTCCTGGACTGCTGCAGCAGCTCCTGCATAAGCGCTGCGTGTGCAAGGACGCAGGGCTGTTAAAAGCGAACGCCACTGCACTCCCCTTAGGGTCAGTGCACATGCACTCCGCCTTCACTCACAGCACCACCGCTGGCCAGCACGGCATGACTCTGGATACACGACTCTGATTTCAATTAGATGTACTTGCAACTAATTAGCGACTGGATGCAACTACACAGGGCCGGTGAAACCTATAGGTGACACAGGCAGCCGCCTAGGGCGCCAGCTTCTGAGGGGGCACCAGCTTGCCAGCCAATTTCATTTAGCCTCGGGGACCACATTGGCTTGGACCGGTGCTGCATCTATGACACAAAACTAAATGAGTAATATGGAAGGGAGGGTGGGTAGGGGGATTATGGTGACGGCATAATAATCATTGGCTCAGTAGGATGCACTAGAACCAAAGTGATGGTATAATAATCATTGGCTCAGTAAGATGCACTAGAACCATAGCGATGGCATGATAATCACTGGCTCAGTAAGATGCACAAGAACCATAGCGATGGCTTAATAATCATTGGCTCAGTAAGATGCACTAGAACCATAGTGATGGCATAATAATCATTGGCTCAGCAGGATGCACTATGACCACATAAACACCAGGGTTGGGGGTTTAAATCCAACCCCAACTGTGTGTGTGTGGAGTTTGCATATTCTCCCCATGTTGTACGGGTTTTTTCCTGCAGGACATAGACATTTTTAAATTGCCCACAGCATGTGACTGTATGTGTTAGTGCCTGGGTATCAGGGGAGCTCCTCCATCTTGTACCGGAAACTCTCTGTGACTTTCAGTGCTACACAATCATTAAATCATTAGAAGTCTCCTTGATCATTCAGGGGACCACAGATAAGAATATTTTGTTCAAGTCAGTTTGCAGGTATCTGGGGAGTAATTATGGATGAATGTGATATTCCAGGAAACAAGCGTTTGCTTGTGAGAATGAGAATGTTTGATAGGCAGTCGACTGCCTCTGCATCCAGGTGGGCATCACGAGGGGGGGGGGGGGGGCATTCATACCCCCTAACTGCCACCCACCAAGGACACTGACTTTTAATTTGTTTCTTTAATAAAAAGGTTCATCCTCTTTTCCCCCAACGTACCCCCTTGTCGTAATTAGTTCTGGTGTTGGTACTGTTTATAACCGCATGAGCGTAAAAACAATGCACTATAGTGTTGATAAACCAGAGGTGGGTATTTCAACCAACCACATGAGTATAAAGAGTCACAGTCACAGTACTTAACTGGCTAGTTGAAACTAAATCTTTTTACTCTCTGGACCAGGACCACCGACCTTTGTCAAAGACCAAATTAGGGAATCGTAACCAATGTAAGTGAGTATTAAACATTTCTTTATCCAGTTTAATTTGAAATCCTGGTCAATTGCCTAAGGATTGAATACATTAAACCCTCTGTCATTGAAGCTGCAAAAAAATGACCTTTCAAACTTAAGATAAACTGATCCTGTTTGCAGACAGACAGCCTAAAACCAGCAGGATTATCTGTCAGTGTAAGAAGTTAGATAAAGAATTAAAATTGTACTTGGTAAGATTTCCTCAAATAAGACAATATTCCTAAATGCAAGTAAATTTGTCTTATTCATAAGATGTGTTGTTACTAATTTCATTAATGAAATTAGAGTTTTGTCTAAATATATGAAAATGATAGTTGCTTAGATTTTCATTATTTGCAGTATTTTTAATTAGAGTATCTCCTATAATATAGTGTGTTTTGTTATTCCAAATAAATCTAAATTGTAAGGAGTAAACAGCCTTGAATAATTTTCATAAACATAAAAGTAAAAGTGCCTGATACACTAAATGTAATATTGCTTGTTTTTCCCACTGTGTCAGCAGAAATCTTTCCATAAATTGTTCATCTCTTTGGAACCAATCATTTAATGGTTATACTCTGTTCAGTTTAGGCTGGAAATTTTTTTATTATTCTCTGAGTCTGATTTGCATATGCCATTACCGAGAGACACCTTAGAAAAAAGGCCAGGGCGGGCTAGGAGCAGCAAGACCTGAGATCCTGAGAAAACATCTCTGCTGCTGCTGGCTGATGTTAAGCTTCCTCTTCAGGCCAGGAGGTCCAGCATACACACTCCTCTGTTTAAAAAAATGACCCATTTTGGCAGGAAAGTGTGTAAGCTGACTCCCTGGTGCACCTTTATCTCTGCGTTCGCTGTAATAGTAGGGACGACTTCACGATGTCATCCATTCCGGCCTAACACTGTTCTCAAACAAAACTGCAAGTTCCCCCTGTCGTGTAAGAAGCAGATTATTTCTGATCCACCCCCACTTGGAATGTGTCAAGATATTGCTCCAATAACAATATTATTGTCAACATTAGCTTTTTGTCCAACTCTTCCCTCCACAAACTCTGGATACTCTAGATACAGGGACCTGCCGTATTTCTCTGAGAAGGTGCTTGGCCATTTTCTGCACTGTGTGACACGTCTACTAATCATTAGATAGAGTAACTGCAGGTATATGGACTAAGCAAGGTTTAAATGGACATACTGTGCAGTTCTTTCTACATAAGACATTTGTTCCTAGCACAGCGATCCTCTGTTAAATATTTTACTTAGCCTTTCAGTAACCAAATAAGGTCACCCTCATCCATTGGGTGTGTGGGAATTTGTTTTTTTATTTCAGATGGGGTTCCTCCTCCAATCTACCAATATGTAAGAAGGTTTAACAGGGGTTTCTAAATAATACTTAAGAAGGCAAACCTGATCTGACCCTAATACTGCATGCTTGATACTAAGAAACTCCCCAGTAACTGGACTGGCACTGTTGAAGCGGTTATGGGAAATCTTCCAGTCTCCCACTAAGGGCTTATGGCCAGACAGCCAATGAATGCTAAGCAGAAACTGGGAATGCTGCAGTAATGACAACGGAAATGCTATAATCAGCGTGTGAGACCTCTGTCTGTGCTGAAAGCTGGAACACTGACCACCGCGGAGACCCCATGCGGGCGCCTGCCCAGAGAGGACATGAGAGGCTGGAGCCAAGGTCTTATAGGAGCCTAATGCTGAGAGAAAGCCCTCCTGCCGATCCGGCAGGTAGCAAAGGGGATATTTGCACGTCTGAGCAAATATGCTTACAAGGGCCAGCTGGACCCAGATTCAGCACATTGGGGACTGAGAATGATGATATCAAACAGCCTGGTAGATATGAAAGCTAAGATAACAGTAACAATCAAGCCCTATACTGATCATGTACCAGTGACCTCTGACCTCACAAATCAGAAGGCACAAAAATACATTAAGTTAAGATATAAAGCAAAGATTCTAATATATTTTGCTAAAATGTATTTTTTTAAATCTTTTTTTTTTTTTTAAAAACAGCAAATAAAATATGTAAAAAAAAAAAATCAGTAGCAGTTGAACATTTATTGTAAGACCACTAGGGGGCACTCAAGACACAGTTGGAATGTGTCATGTTAACTAATGTGCAGAATAAGTCTGCTGACACCTAAGACATGTTCTAATGAAGTGATCGGGCCAGAAGGAAGGTTCTCCTGTCTCTGCCTCTAACCCACACTGGATTAAATACAAGCATCAACACTTCTGGTGGTGCTAGTGAGGGAGCTGAATATCCAGAGAGCCCCCTAGACAGCAGCACGACTGGGACCGGCATCTGCTGTGGGTCCTGCTGGCCCAGCGTGTCTCCACCTCTGGCCTAAGCTTCAGTGTGGGACGTCCCACTTGCTTCTGCACAAGCCTCTCACTGGTACAGAGTAGGGAAGGTATTTTCGCTCCATCAAATTGTGTTTTATTTACGCTGTAAGGGTCACTGCAGATACCCTTTGTAGTTGGGCTTTGACCTTCTCCTTAGACTCTTATTTAAAGCCACCACTGCTTTCAGAGCCTAAAAAAGAGGAATGATGTGCCTGACAATAACTGTATATTGTGTCTTCGATCCACTGTAGTCATACACACCTGCCAGTGTTTCGAAACCTTTGCTATACTTCTGTAAAGGAACATAGTTAAGTCCGTATCAAGGTGACAAAGTCACGTGGCTACCCCGAATAGGACATCCGGAAGTCATTCTGTTTTGATACTTTTCAGTTGTTTCGCTTCATTCGGTCTCAGTCCGAGAACAATTGAACAGTTTATAATTCTATAACTCTTTCTAAAATGCACCTACTATGTTGTGTGAAATATACGCAACATGTTCCCAAAATAAGGGAAACCTCATTTTAGCAGCCGGCTCGATCGACCTAGTCCGACACTAGCACGCACTCGGGATCCGCGAGCCGGGGCATTTCCCTTTCCATTCGATTGGACACGTTTCGTGAACCATTTGGGTGGGACTCCGCGCACGAGGCGTCAAACGTCGCCGATGACGTCATCGAGTCCGGACGATCGCGTGCCGACTTGCGTTTCTTCCGAAGGAGCCCCGATTGCCGCTCCGCGTTACGGAGTGTCGGTACCGATCTTAAGGCAGCTAGCGTGACACTTCGGGAGGCGCCGCTGGAATGAGGTACGTGCATTATTACCATGATCACCACGTATAAGCTATACGACTCTGCATAGAAAACCACTGTTTAAGTCCTAAACTAATACTAATTCACGAAAGCTAGACAGCTAACAGGTTGCTCGTTCGTGCACCTATAACATGCAGTCATTCCAAAATGTAACAAGTTTTGGAGACCTTATTAAATGATATTTGAAATCTCCTAACACTAGTGTAATTTTAGTAGTTGTTTTTTGTTTTTACGGAAATGTTTGTAATCACCATTTGAAACTACGAGTGCTGTCTGTTACCTGCCGTTACATGAATACTATAATTACATTAATACCTTGCAGATTCATATGCAGGAACTACTTCAAACTTTGGGTTTTTAGTTATGAAATAATACATCTTTGAGACAAAATACATTATGCTGTAACCCTTGAAATTGGCAATAACTGCCTACTCTTCATAACTACAGTCAATAATGGGTTATTTAAGTCATGTACACGCGATGTTAAGTTTTAAAGTGATTCTTTTGCACAATTTTCTCATGTGCATGAGTGTCACACGACTGACAGTCAGAAAACGGAGAAAATGTTTAAACTAATCTATGCTACTTGATTGTCGTTGAACGCGAATTTGGCACTAAATTCAAATGTTTCTTGTACAATAATATCTAGTAATCCCGGAAAGTTTACTCCAAAGGTTGCTTTAAGGTTTATTAACCTTTGATAGGGATGGTAGCCTGACTATGTTTGCATGACTGCTGTTTAGTCAATACTGCCGCCGGCCACATGGCGAAAGAGATCACGTTGCGCAATACCTTTACTGTAATTTTACTGTTTAATTTGTCAGTTGTTCTGTAGGCTACCTGTTCCAGGGAACATTCTCTATGTAAATATTTAGTTGGTAAAACCTTATGCCTTGTAAATTAGTAAATTACTGATACTGTCCTTTGCTTCTTGCATGTTTGCCTTTTCTGAAGCTGTGAAAAGTTCTTTTTCTTGTTCATAAACTGCTTTACACTTACATTTTAGTATCTACATCTAGTATCTACTTATTCTTATAATAAGGTGAATAATTGGAATGAGATGATTAAAATTTTGCGATAAGACGGGTTACTCGGTGGCGCAGTGTCCCACTGTCACCTGCCCTCTAGAGTTGGGGGTTTAAATTGCACCTCCGCTATTTGCGCATTGAGCTTGCATGATCTCCGCGTGTTTTGTGGCTTTCGTCACGGATCTTCTGTGATCCTGACCAAGATAAGGGTTTGGAAGTTGGGTGGATAAGATTTACCTTTATCTTAGAGTAAATAAAACATGTTAAAAAGCAGGTCAGTTATTTTTTTATTGAATTCAGATTGATTTAATGGGTCTCTTCCATATATATATATACTGTTCAGACATAACATTAAAACCACCTGCGTAATACTGTGTAGGTCCCCCTCATGCCACCATAACTGCCCTTACTCGCTGAGGCATGGACTCCACATGTCCTCTGAAGGTGTCCTGTGGTATCTGGCACCAAAACGTTAGCAGCAGATCCTCTAAGTCCTGCAAGCTGCGAGGTGGGGGCTCCGTGGATCAGACTTGTTTGTCCAGCACGTCCCACAGATGCTTGGTCAGGTTTTTCATATTCCTCAAACTATTCCACAACAGTTTTTGCAGTGTGGCAGGGAGCATTATCCTGTTGAAAGAGGCTGTACTTGGTTGACAACAATGATTAGGTAGGTGGTACAAGTCAAAGTAACATCCACATACCCATAAATGCCAGGACCCAAGGTTTCCAAGCAGAACATTGCACAGAACATCACAATGCCGGCTTGTCTTCTTCCCATAGTGCATCCTGGTGCAAACTCTTCCCCTGTATACTGGGAACACCCCACAAGACCTGCCGTGTTGGAGATGCTCTGACCCAGTCGTCTCGCCATCCCAGTTTGGCCTTTCTCATGGTCGTGCAGATCCATGTACATTCCCATTTTTCCTGCTCCACATCAACTTCAACTTCTTACGCAATATATAATGGCACCCTTGATGGGTGCCATTGTAACGAGATAATCACTGTTATTCACGTCGTTTGTCAGTGGTGATTTGGCTGGTTGGTGTATTTTTTTTTTATAAATAAGTGACTTTTGCAAAAAAAAAAAAACCCTGCGATGAAATGCATCAAAAAAATCTTGGCCTTCCCCAGCAGACGTGCTTTAACCAAGCAGTAGGGACAATCTCTTTATCAAAATCTCTGTCCCATCAAGGCCAAAAGTACTGCAAAGCTGAAAGTTAGTAAATCAATAGTGAATTAGTGAACATTCTTCAGCAAATGAACAGTGCTTATACTCTTTGCTAGAATACTGCTATGTTTGTCGCTGTTAGCATTAGTTGGACATGAAGCATGAGTGTCAGAATCAGCTTTTGCTTCTTATCAGACATAATTAGGGCTCGGCCCTTATTTCAAACAGTGCTAAAACTAAAAGATACATATTAATACACGTGACTGTGGACCATACATACAAAATGATTTTGAATGTTACCTTTGCAGGAGTGACAATTCTCAAAAAGTATGTTTGAAAATGTGATAAAGGCTTAATATATAAAACCATATTTTTTCACATTTTAAAATGGTTTAATATAAATGTGACTTCTAAGTTCCTGTGATGATTTTCCAGAGCACTTTTTCTTTGATATATATATTCTTGAGTTGACCAGCAGTTTTAGCAGTTTAACAGTTTGGCTTGTATAAATCAGGACTTTAATTTGCTGTCCTTCGCCGGAATTGAGTCTGGTTCCTCTCAAGGTTTTTTCCTACTAGGGAGTTTTTTCCTTGCCGCTGTTGCCTCTGGCTTTGGGCAAGGACAACGTGAAGCACTTTGAGACAAAGTAATGTTGTGAAAATTGACTATGCAAATAAAATTTAATTGAATTGAACCTGAATGGAGCTCTTAACATTGAGCTTCTTAGCAGCAGTAGTAGTGCTGCAGCAGTATATTTGATTATCACAGCTGATCTTATTGAAATTATATGGATTATTTGATCAATAATTTATGGATTATTTGCAGGCTATTGCTGTATGTGTGTTACACTGTAATTTGATTTTGTAATGATGTGTGCATATTAAATACATTAATGAGTGCTGTAGAAGAGGTGTACCGTTTTATACAAACATTTTTGAATATTAAATCAACAGTGAACTTATTTCCGTCTTACATTTATTTTTTTTAAAGAGCGCTATATGATCTTCACCTTATATGAATCATCCATTCACTTATTATGAATCATCCATCCACTTATTATGGTCTATGTTGCAGGGCCTAGAGCTTTAAATGAACCTTTGATCCAAAATCATGATGGGACGAAAGTGGTGATTATGTTCTGCTCTGTCCCACAATTCTAGGTAGAACGCAGTGGAGGCCATCTTGGAGTGATGATGTGGCGGCCATTGTTGACCTTTTTGCTACTGGACAGTGTATGTACACAGAAGGGCTCCAGCAAGGAGTTGAAAGGCCATGTGTCTGTGGTCATTGTGGGTGGCACGGGCGATTTGGCCAAGAAGTACCTTTGGCAAAGCTTCTTCCAGCTGTATGCTGATCAGGTCAGCAGTGGGTACAGCTTTTCCTTCTATGGCGGCGGCCTTTCAGAGGCTGAGAAAGGCAAGCCCAAATTCTTTCAGATTCTGAAGAGCCTGGCGTGCCCGTCGGAGGGGTCGGAGGAGCGGTGTGCTCTGCTGAAGGAGCAGTTCTTCAAGCTGGCTCAGTACCAGCAGCTGAACACCACAGAAGATTATGAAAATCTGGCACGAGACATCAGACAGCGGCCAGAAGATGAAGGCCTGGCGGAGGCGGGCCGGCTGTTTTACCTGGCCGTTCCTGCGTCCACGTATGCTGATGTCGCGGAGAAGATCAGCCGCAGCTGTAGGCCCGGCCAGGGGCAGTGGCTTCGGGTGGTGCTGGAGAAGCCGTTCGGCCATGACCTGGACAGTGCTGAGCAACTAGCCACGCTGCTGAAGAAGTCTCTGCACGAGGACGAGATGTTCCGGATAGACCACTACCTAGGAAAGCAGGTATGAATCAGCCTGCTCTTCATTACTGCTACATCTTCACCTGCTGCATTCAGGTTGCATGAAATGTTGCTGTTGATCTTGCAGTGTTATTTGCAGGCTGTGACAGGCAGTCCCATAGTGGCTGAATTATTTGCGATTCCGTGCCACTGCAGGCAGGATGGCTGTTCCGATAATGACAGGCTGCTGGGCGAAAAAAAAGCTCATTTCCATGGTTCCAAGTAATTTTCTGCATGATTAATCGAGCTGATTATCTCCATGACCCGATTTTAATACGTTTTTATTGTTCCTAGATATTGTTTAATCAGAATTATAATTATTATACTTTCATAATAATGAGATCTGTCTGTCTTTGGAGGGCTTTTTAAAAAAATCCCCCTGATTGATGTTTAACTCATTTCATCTCAAAAAATAGTAATATGTTACCTTAAGGAAACCAATCTGGCCATAGCCAATTAAAAAAAGTACTGTTAATTTTGTTAAACCTCTGCTCTTCAAAAGGCACGGTTTCTGCGGTCATCACATCACATTTGGGTCCTGCAATACACACACGCATCATTCTCCCACCTGCTCGCACCATTGACTGTGGAAAGTATCTGACCCCGGGGGGGGGGGGGGGGGCATGAAATCCTGTCCACTTGTCTGTTTGCTTTTCAGAAATTCAGATTAAGGCACCTGCCACTTTGTTTCTTTCTTTCTGAATAGTCGAGCCCTGCTCAGCGTACGATGCACTTTTCTCCCTCGCGTCACATGTTGAGATCTGACTAATGCTGCCGGTGATGTAGCTTTAAATCAGGAGTGGGGAGCCTGTTCCATGGAGGGCCAGTGCGGGTTTTTGGGATGACCTCTCAATCAGCCAATCACAGTGCGTCCCCAGGACTGGAGTTGAGAACCACTGCTTTCTTATTGGCTGACTGAGAGGCCATCCCAAAAACCCGCACCGGCCCTCTATGGATCAGGTCCCCCACCCCTGCTTTAAATATACAGTTTACTATACAAGTTTTATTGGTTTACATTAAATTATTAGTAGGTGATTTTTTTTTCATGATTGTTCATCACCGCTTTCTTAATTATGCCCCCAGTTACCTGGTCGGGGGCCCGACTGGCCCTCAGCTGGCCCTCAGCTGGCCCCCGGCTGGCCCCCGGCTGGCCCTTCTGTTCTGTGGTCCATGGCTCACACTGACCCGTTATGTGCATTTTTGCAACATAACTATAGAGAATATTTTGTTGTATCGTCTGATCAACTTTCCTGCCCATAACTTCCGTTGAAACATTTTTAAAACAAATCTATAAATAAACAGCGTTGCAGGCTTTATCTTTTATGTGTCCATTATTGTACATGTTTGACATGGATATTTATAATATCACTTTTTATGAGATTACTACGGTAATTATAGTTATTTTTAGGACATTCTTTATTGGATGAGGAGAGTGTGACATGCAATAGAACATCAACACACTGTTGTTACTAATACTTATCATCAATGCTGATAGGCTTCCATTATAAAAGAAACGTTAAGTGCAGGTGAATCAGTGAGTCTGGGAGTGAGCGTGCACCTGCCGTACGAGCGCGGAGTGTTTACAGTCCTCGGTACCTGATCTTCTTGAATCATCGTGAACAAGCATATCTTTTAACACGATAAAACTACTGCATTGCAATTTGAATAAACACTGTGGTTTACAGAAACAAGACTCAAGTTTCAGGGCCAATGGGTTTATACATACATACAGGTATTTTTTTCTATCATTGATAAAATTGTATTTTCATTTCAATGAAAGTTACATGAGCCCGTACAATGGTACATAAGAAGGAATAACCAAGTATGTATTTAGTTGGATTCTTTATCTGTTTAAAATATATTTTTTGTATACTTTTGTGAAAGGTGGTTTCCCAGATATTGCCGTTTCGGAAAGACAACAAGAACTTCCTTGACCCCATCTGGAACAAACATCACATAGAGCGAATGGAGATAGTTCTGAAAGAAACTCTGGATGTAAAAGGTGCACTCTTCTTTTATGTAAATCACATGCAATGTACCATAAAACTAAAAAGATTGAAACAAACAAAAAATTTAAAATAATCTAGTAACGTCAAATCAAATGCGAATAACTGTTGTACTGGAGGACAGAACTTCTCCAATAGGACTTTCTTGAATAATTTAAAAAGTAGTTCTTTAAAAAAAAGCCAGTACTGTGAAATCGCACTTTCATAAGAGTGGCCTGTTTACGGCATCGTGCAGCTCTCTGTAGAATTGCACGTTTGCTGTTTTACCAGTAACTGACTTTTGCCTGAATATTGACTGTACATGTTTTACAATAATAACTCAATATTATTGTTTATATTATTAAATATAACGATTGACAGACAGATCTCGATATTTCTTAGATAAAATGTTGTAGATATTGCCCAGCCCCAAATGGAACGCAAAATTCATGCAGTTTGTAGAGAATGAGCTCCTACTCGTGCCATTTTCTATTGTTCGGAAAGAGTATTGTTCAGTGTTTTAAAAAGGATTCCTATTACTGGTTTCAGTGAAGGGAACGTTTAAAATGCCTTTACAACATTAAACGTCACTATCAAATGTGATAGAAATTGTACCATAAGCTTAATGCGTCTGTTCTATTTTAGGCAGGGCTCAGTTTTATGATCAGTATGGGGTGATCAGGGACGTGCTGCAGAACCATCTGACGGAGGTCCTTCTCCTTCTGACAATGGGAGTCCCAGCCGATATGAGCAACAGCGATGAGATTGTCAACAAGAAGCTGCAAGTCTTCAGCTCTTTAAAGGACATCGACCGGACTAGTGCTGTCATTGGTCAATACCAGGCCTACAACTCTGAGGTGCAGGAGGAGCTTAACAGGACCAAGGAAGACATCAGCAACACACCCACCTTTGCAGGTATATAACGCACAAGGAGGGGTTTCCGGTTGATGTCACACGTACTTGTTGTGTGCTTTTGTGAGCACGAGTCACCCTACGGTGCATTTTCAGATTTATCTGATTTCCATATACCTCACATGCCTTTTGGATGTTTCTGGATGGCGATTTCTTAAAATGGGTAAAATGGATTGTAAATAAGATGGATTTTCCTTTGTTGGGTCTGTCTGAGGTGGTGCAGTGGTTGGCACTGTTGCGTCACACCTGTGGAACCCGGGTTCAAGTCTCTGCCTGGGTTACATGTGTGTGGAGTTTGCATGTTCTGCCCTTGTGGATGGATGGATGAATCTGTCTGATGTTTGATAGCAGAGATCATCTTCTGATTTTTTCAAAACACTTTTTTTCAATGGTTTATAAATTATTTGTCTTTGTTTTTTCTGGGCCTGTCTTTTTTATGGCTGTGATCTACATCTAATATTTATTTTTTATTACAATTATATTCCCTTTTCGCTGTTGTATAGAATTATGTGCAATCGCTGAAAAAGGTAGTCGTGGTGTGCTTCATCATAATATTACTAGTAATCATCTTTGTTCCATGTAGGTGTTGTGGTTCATGTCAGGAACACTCAGTTTGATGGAGTTCCTATCTTCTTGACCTCTGGGAAGATGCTGGATGAGCAGGTGGCCTATGCCCGCATCCTCTTCAAGAACGAGGTCTTTAGTGTTCGGAATTCCAGCAGTCTCCGATGTAGCCCCAAGCAAATAGTTTTCCTCCTGAGACATGGTAACCTACTGCACTCGGCCATTCTCGTCAGCAAGAATCTCTTCAAGCCTACTGTTCCAGATGATAGCTGGAAAGAGGTGACAGGAGAGAGAGATACTGCCTTGTTTGGCCTGCCCTTGTCAGGTTACCACATCTACATGCCCACGTTCCAGAGGGAGGCCCATGAGGTGGTCGTCTCCCAAATCTTTCATGGCAGAAAGGACAGCATTATCCGAGTAGAAACCATGCTGGCTTCCTGGGCTTTTTGGACACCCCTATTAGACAGCCTAGCACAGCAGGTTCCGCGCACATATCCCGGAGGCACTGACACGGAAAATCTTCTCGACTTCCAGCTGCATGGCAGGAAGATTACCTTCACAAATGAAGCTGTAATCTTGAGCCCACGTGCCTTTGTTGGGGGGTCGGCCACAGCTGAGAACTTCCAGGTCATGCGCGGCAAGTACCGTAACGCAGACATGGTGTCAGCCTGGCCGGAGGAGCTCATCGATCGACTCGCCGCCGACCTGCAGGCCGCAGCCGAAGAGGCAGTGGAGGGTGGTGGACTTTTCCACCTGGCGCTGTCCGGAGGCTCCAGCCCCCTCGCCCTGTTCCAGCGCTTGGCTGTACATCACTACTCCTTCCCGTGGCAGCACACGCACATATGGATGGTGGATGAACGTTGTGTGCCATTGTCAGAGCCCGGCTCCAACTTCCATGCCTTGCACGAGGACCTTCTACAGCATGTACGGCTGCCCTATTTCAACATTCATCCTATGCCTGTACACCTCAATCGACGTCTTTGCGTCGAGGAGGACGGCGGCCCGCTGCTCTACGAGAATGACATCTCCCGATTGGTCAACGGCTCCAGTTTTCACTTTGTTCTACTGGGTGTAGGTTATGATGGACATACAGCTTCACTCTTCCAAAGCACTCAGCTGGACTCCCATGCGCACAGGCTGGTGGTTCTGACGGAGAGCCCGGTGAAACCACACCAGCGCATGAGCCTTACTCTAGCTGCCATCAATCAAGCTCAGAGGGTTGGTGTACTGGTGACGGGTAAAAGCAAACATGAGATGATCATTCAGCTGAGCCGGATAAAGGATGATCCACAGAAGTGGCCCATAACAGGTGTCAGGCCTACTGGTGGCAAGCTGGTGTGGTATATCGACTATGATGCTCTATTAGGCTAAAAGCCTCGGTCACTGGTGCAATTCCTAGAAATCTACTGAAACCAAATAATTTGGAAATGTGTATGTCTGTTTGTTTTTTACACATTAAAACCCTTTCACAACTATCAAGATTATTTTTATATTGATAAAGATAATGGATAGATAATTGAGTTCTTGATGTTGCACTGGTTTTATGTGTTTCCTCATGTGTAATGGTTTGATTTTCATGATAAACTATTGAACATCGATGAAATGGTATTCAAACAAGTCTCAAAGTATTTGAACATGCCACAGTGTTTTCAAAATGGTTCTTTCTTTGTTTTCCCTTTAAATTCATCATTTCAGGGATACTTTTACTCTGTGCTTAGTTTGAATATCAGTTTGAGGATGATTGGTTTGCCATGATATACACTGAAACAAAAAAAAAGTCACCATTTGAATTTAAATCAGCAAATACTTAAAAGCCAATGACTGGATCATTATTACAGCTCAGCTACGTTATACAGCAATAAAGTGAAGTCAGCTGCGTGCCTGAATCTTCTGGATGGCCAGGTTACCGCTTCATCCATCATCCATGGATTTTTTCTTCCCTAATGGCATGGACATATTCCAGGATGATGATGCCTATGTTTATCTTGTTTAAACTGTGAAGGAATGGTTAAAGAGCATGAGGAATCATTTTCACACGTGATTTAACCACCACAGTCTTGAAATCTTTGGTAAATCTTTGGGATGTGCTGAAGAAGACTTTATGGAGTGGTCCAACTCACCTATCATCAATACAAGATCTTGGTGAGAAATTAATGCAAATCTGGATGGGGGAAAAAAATGTTGATGTTGCATAAGCTTGTGGAAACCGCCGTGATGAATGTGTGCCATAATCAAGCTAAAGGCGATCCAACTAAAAATTCAAATGATTTTTTTTTTTTTGGCCAGACAGTGTATATTTTCACATCACAATGAACATGCCTTAAGTGTAGTTCAAATGAAGAAATGATTTGTAGCAATTTTGAATCTCAGGAATGTTTGTTCTATATTTCAGGGATAATTGGTCGCAAACTCCTATTCAGGGTTTTACAGCATAGATTAATGTAGAAAATTGTTGGATATTGATGGTCCTTTTTACAGCTGCCTAGGAAACTGGTGATTTTGAATGGAAGTTCCATCTAAAAACGTGTGTTATGTTCTTGTCTATTTCTATCAGACCAGTCCCTGTTTGTTCTTGCGTTCGGTGGAACCACATGCCTAACTATTGTCTTCTTGTCTGATCATTACTCTGGACATGGCAATGTGACCAATCCAAGCTGTTTTTTCATAAAGAAGAATTTACAAACTTATTTTGCCTTAATCTTTGTTTTGCCTATAACATTCCGGGTGCTAATTTGTCCATCTTTCCTCAGTATTATTTTACCTTATCATTTCCAGAATTATAAAGGTTACTTTAAAAACAAAGCCGTCTGGTCCATTATATGGCATTGATCACAGATTCCCACTTATGCTTGCATGCTGTAATTTGGCTTAGATAACAAATCTTCAGTGAAAAGCTCACCTTGACATTCATAATTCATCAACAACACGAGCTTAGCTCAAGATGCAGAGAGGATCAAAACATCTAAAGTATCTAAAATATTTTCATTCATCATTTGAAGTCCAAATGTATATTTTGGTCGTATTCATCCACTTATTGGCACTCAGGGTAAAGATGAGCAAAAAAGGAGGAAATTTTATTCCAGGAAAAAAAACCCTAGAATAAATAAATAAATAGATAGATTTTTTTTTTTTTACCAAACCACATAATTACTTGCCACCCCTGGAAATTTCATGTTATGTCTATGCTGATTTCTTTGGTTGAGTTGCCTTAGATACAAGAACAATAAAAAAAAAACAATTAACCCAAAAATAACAGGAAAAACCAAAAAAAAAAAGTTTTCAGGATTCCACATGCATCGGTCTTTTCTTCCCCCTCATCCTCCCTCTTATCCTGGATCAGCGTGTCCTGGTGGAGGTTAGCAAATGCTACTGGGGTGACGCTTCCTTTGGTTACCCTGGAAACACTGAAGCAGGTGTAACGCTATTTTAAGTGTTTAGTAAAATGCAAGTCTCAGATATAGCGATGATTGTACCCAGCAGCCTCATGTTAGCCACACAGCAAATGCTCACTTAACCTCTTCCAGTATTTGTAGATGGATTTTGCTAAGTATCTCTGGGATTATTACTTTGGACTGGGTTTGTATGCAAAGTGTACAAAAGGTTTATGGCCTTTGTGAAATCCCAGAATCCTTTATCCTCCACAACTGAAAAGGCTTAAATGAAAGGCTGACACGTAACATCCGCGGATGTGAAATATAGGGAAAACATTTATTTGCGGTATTTCCAATGATTTTACATTTCCTACAACAAAACTTTAAGGCTGCATATGTCATGCTTTGTAAACATTTCATCCCATCAGAAATATTGCAAATACACAAAGAGAGAAATTAATAACAAAACTTTGTTAAAAAGCACTTTTACCATCCTGAAGAGAAATTGACACAATCCTTGCAAAGCATAAGGTGCAGTAAATTTATGTAATCTGTTGAGGATGATGTCTTTTTTAGAGGTGTAAGATAATGACATTGTTAAAGAGAATATGTGCAAACCATTCCAAGACTGAAAAAAAGGAAGACTTAAACAGATATTAGGAAATCTAGATTTATTCAGCAAGAAGGAAGGTTTGAAAAGTCATCAAAAAGAAGCATTGATTACACTGTACACCTCAATCGACGTCTTTGCGTCAAGGAGGATGGATACCCACTGCTCTACGAGAATGACATCTCACGATTGGTCAACTGCTCCAGTTTTCACTTTATGCTACAGCGTGTAGGTTATGATGGACACTGAGGACCTGCTGATTAGCTACTGGTCCTCAGTCTTTCAGATTTCCATTTTAATAGAATGGATAATTGACTGTGCACCAAAAACAGGAGAGACACTTTTCTTCCTGCTGGTTTGTCATTATGCATCCATACTAGGGATGGGAAGATTCACGCATTGGTGTACTAGCATAAAAGTTCATAATGCTATTGCTCCTCTCTGAATCATATCGTATCACATTATTGGCTGCCTCATACGTTTCTTTAATGTATCAGATCACTGGCGATACATGGAGACGTGTATCACATCAGCCTCAGCGACGGAGATGCACATCCCTAATCCATACATGTGGCACCTCCTATGAAACTGCACTGCAGCATCAGTAGAAGATGCTGAGATACCAAAGCGTGCTGCTGGAATCCCAGCATATTTACATAGCTTGTAATTATTCTAGGTTTAGAATATGAATTGAATGCATTCTTTAGCTACTTAAACAACATCATATCATATCAGTGGTAATTATCTTTTGCTCTTACTTATCAACAGAATATGCAGGGTTTTTGCTCCATCTGTCACCAAAAATTAGCTGAGCTTGACTTTTGTTTTATTCATTTATTTTAAAACGTTTTATGTGAAATTTCTAATAGCAAATACATCACAACCCCGAAAGTGTCGCGTGTAGCACAAATGTAACATGTAGCAACAATTATTGTGTAAACTGCATGAACAGCTACAAAAAGGTGAATAAACTTTACCACATATTTCTGCTTTTGAAAGCGGAATAAGTCTTGTTTTGGACATTCTTCTGATTGTCTGCATAGGTTCTTCATAAATATTTTGACACTCAAAAAATACAAATGGATCTAACCATATTTGAAAAATACAAACATAAAGAAATACAAATAAATAGATATATAACCATCCAAAATGGATGTAAACACTTTTCTAACACAACAAGTGTTCTTTTTCCTTTATATCCACAGAGTATGAGCAGTTACTCATTGAAATTCCACATACATTTTTTTGTAAGATGTGCATCTTTTTCAATAAATATTACATTTCCAATGTAAATACATAATCAAAATGATTAATGATATTTACATGAATTTTAAGGAGAACAACCCCTTTCCTTCTTATCAGTTAAATTAAATATTTATAGTCCCAAGGTTGATTCCTAAAACGATAGTAAACATTTGTCCTTTATGTCCATAATCATCTGTTGTCCTTAGAAACACTGTGGACCATCCAGTTTACCTTCGTCTTCCAGCTCTCGCGGAGCGCCTCGTTAAATTTCACTTTAAAGTTCTTCAGGGCCTCCTCTTCTGACCTCCCCAGTGCTAACGAGTCCTATAAATCAGTAGAAAAAAATCAACTAAATAATATGACATATAAAATGACAGCATGTTGAATTACAAGCCCTAACGGTAACACTTTCTACAAATGCCTGGAAGAAGTCTATAAGAATTCATAACAGACTAATATGCATGACTCATAAACATGATTAAAATATTTTTTCAAAAGGCATAAGGCATTAGAGCACTGATTATAGTACTTTATAAGCTCAAATGAAGATCTCATCTATAGTACATTATAGACACCTTCATAATGCATCACAAAGCATCTATAATGCATTATAATGGTCAGTAAGAATTGTTTTGTAAAGAATTATAAGGGAGTTTATAATGCATTATAGATGAAAGCTTAGTTCAAAGCTTTTAAAGAATTATAATCAACACTACGATGCTTTATGCTTTTTTATAAATATTTATAGTCATGTTTATAATGCTTTATGAATGCATCACAATGTTTTATGAATGTGCATACGCAAAGTCTGCGTTTTTTTTAGCTGGTTATTTTTTTTACCTTTATATTAAAGTTGCAGAACAGTTTTGAATATATGAGTTATTCCTGAGACTTACCTTAAGGTACTGGATATCCTTGGAGGAGCTCAGCTCAGGGAGTCCCGCAGCCCGCATTAGGGAGAATAAATTCACAAACAGGGTCCCATTTCGACAAAGGATCTTGTAGGCCAGTTCGCAGTACTCCCGGAATCTGAGAACACACCATAAGCAACTCAAGACATTTTGCAAGATAACTGGAATAACCACATTTGCAGACTTTAGAAAAGACCCCAAGAGACAGAATGGGGATATGCAAGGTCCAGCATTCTAGGGGTCACCCTATGACTGCACATTTTGAATCCAAGCCCTGTTCTGTGGGTGGACTTTGCATGTTGTCTACTTGTTTCTTATGTTCCCCTCCAAATCCCCTCCAAAGAGCTTGATGGGCTAAATGGCCTCTTCTCTTTTGTAAATATCTTATGTTCTTGTGGGTTCTTAGGCTCTAGATCAATGTTTCCCAATCCTGGTCCTCAGGGACCCTCAGACGGCCCACATTTTTGCTCCCTCCCAGCTCCCTGTCAGACGGCCCACATTTTTGCTCCNTTTTTGCTCCCTCCCAGCTCCCTGTCAGACGGCCCACATTTTTGCTCCGTCCCAGCTCCCTGTCAGACGGCCCACATTTTTGCTCCCTCCCAGCTATCGCAAATCCGTGGATTGTCTGTGTGTCCCTGCGGACTGGGTTGGGAAACACTATTCTAGGTACTAGGTCTTTCTACCATAGTCCAAAGGCCTGAAGTGATGTGAACTGGCATCTCTAAATTGCCCACAAGCATGACTGTGACTGTATTCCGTGATGAACTGGTATCTCATCCACATGCTGTGCCATATGCTGTTTGAGAAAGGTGTCAGGCCCCTGTGTTGGATGAGTTGCTGGAATACAAATGGATTAACAACAGAATCCATTGTGAACGTTTGTTAATATTCGTGACACATCTGACATTCAGTAGTGCTGCGAGTATGGGTGCTAAGGCTGCTTCAGACCCCCCACTTGTCTGTTCCATCAAATAAAAACATAGCAATGTGTTATTTATCTTGCAATGGCCCAGAGGCCACTTTATGATCAAACAGACTGCTGTTGTTAGTTGTTGATAGCTACAGACGATATAAAAGATATTCAGGAAGTCTATTCTGACTTTAAGCACCCTGACCTCAAAACGTCTTCCCACGCATATGCTAATGTTCAGTATCATTGTTTCTCCTTATAGTTGTTTGACGAGTGTCTATCGCCAGCTACTGAGGTGGAGCATGAAAACAAGTGGTAACATTTAATACAGTCAGTCATAATTAGCGGTTTGGGAACAGTTGGGTTTCCCAGTTGATAAGACTAAGACTGTCAGTTGGTTCTGTCTTAGCTCAGATATAGACACTCAATGTGCAGAAAGAGCCTCTACATGTTTGTCGCCATGTAGTATTTAAGGAGCTTTGGCCAGGAAATTCAGACCAGATTAAAAAAATAGTCGTGGCTGTAGCGGTGTTTCTCACTTCAGTTTCGCTACCATACTCGGTAGCAGAGAACATGGGATTTAGTTAATGAGGATTATTATTGTGTTATATTTCTTATTTAAAAATTTATTTTACATACTTTTTTTTACAATGTGCAAATAATCATCTTAGGTTTTGCTATTCAGGCACATCAGTAGTCGCATTGCCTTTGGTTTACAACTGTTACAGTTCCAGTTTTAATAATAATGAATTTCAAAATAAATGCCGTTTTCCCTGCTGCACCGAAATTGCACCAAACTTTGACCCCAAAACTGAGGTTTGTACCATAAATTTTGTGTACCGTTACACCCCATATGAATACTTCATACAGTATAAACAGCAGCTTTCCTGAAGGGTGGAGAGAGCTGGGGACAGAGTGAGGTGGCCTCCTGTCCTGGCAGCAAAGCTACTGTAGGATCCACTGGAGGACATTAATGGTAAGGGAAGCTGTCAGACTGAAGAGGGCAGCCTTCAGGGCCTGAGACCACTGAAAAATACTGACAGGCCAGAATAGTTGTAGGGAAGGTGGCTGCACAGGCAAAAGCTTGTATATGGAAGAAGTTTATTGAGGCCTTGGAAATCTGATCAATACTTCAAGAGGTTGCCCATACAAAGGTTGCCATATTTGGTGAGACAAAACGAGGACATGTCTGGGAGTCAGAATATTAATGAGCTTTCACGTTGATGAGGCAATCAGGTAGTACTTCTCTTAAGAATATTAATGAGCTTTCACGTTGACGAGCCAATCAGGTAGTGCTTCTCTTAAGAATATTAATAAGCTTTCACGTTGACGAGCCAATCAGGTAGTGCTTCTCTTAAGAATATTAATGAATTTGCACTAACCACCTTGTAAAATGAGAAAATCACGTCTGGGAAAACCCCGGACATATGGTAACCTTACAGTTAACGCTCCTTTTACAATCTACACACAACTGACACAATATATGTGTTTACAAGTATTTTTCAACAAAACACGAAGCTAAAGTCTGTTGAACTTCAAACAAACAACATGATTCACTATTCACACAAAAACAAAAAATAAACTGTCAATGGCTCCGGGGAGATGACGTCACTCTTGAGCAGCGTGACGTGTAGGGCTGTGCGTATCGTTTAACGGAAACATGTGCACGACACGTGCAAATGCTCTGTGATGATACTGAGTGGCTGCCGTGCCGTATATTGAAAGTTGGCACCTTCTCCTTGCTACTCAACTTGCGGGTTACAGCACTGAACCCGGACAAACCGGCGACTTTTGAAAAACTGCCCAGATGCCTGAACAGTTGTAGACAAAATCCGTCAAGAGACAATGAAAGAAATCACACCTAGTCTATGACTGGGAACTAGACAGGAGACTCCATCTGGTGGTTAAACCCAGGATTCAGCAGATGAATTGCAAATTGTGGCCTGGTTGTGGAACAGTGGTCTGTGGGAATATAGTATAAACTTGGAAGAGATATAAGGGGCACCGGGTCACCACTGTGTGGCCCATTTTACTCATCTATCTCTGTCCCTATCCTTGCCTTTGGTCATAACTGTGAGAAATGATCAAACAAATTCGGCTGCAAGTACCATTGGCTGAAATTAGGTTTTTCCACAGGGTTGGCAGGCATTTTCTCTGAAAGGGTGAGCAGAGAGTCTTCAAAACTGAACCACCGCTGCTTCAGGCCAAGTGTATTCAGCTATTCTGGACACCGCCCCTCCATGCAGGAGAGATGGTATCTCCCAGCTGGCCTGGGAGCAGTCTAGGGCCTATGGAGCTGGACAGTAAGGTCTTGGTCTGATTGCCCCCCCCCCCATGCAGGAGAGATGGTATCTCCCAGCTGGCCATGAGAGCAGTCTAAGGCCTGTGAAGCTGGACAGTGAGGTCTTGGTCTGACTGCCCCCCATGCAGGAGATTTGGTATCTCCCAGTTGGCCTGGGAGCAGTCTAGGACCTATGGAGCTGGACAGTAAGGTCTTGGTCTGACCGTCCCCCGTCCCCCCATGCAGGAGAGATGGTATCTCCCAGCTGGCCTGGGAGCAGTCTAGGGCCTATGGAACTGGACAGTGAGGTCTTGGTCTGATTTGCACGGCATGCTGCCACTGCATCTTCACCAGCAGAAGTAGAAAGAACATGATGATGAAAAAATGACCGTATTGCCAGCAATCTAAGCCACTGATTCTCCTAAATAAGAAGCATATCAGCGTAAATCCCCAAACACATAAGGTACTGACTGGATGACTGTTACCAAGTTAGACCATAATAACTAAACACATAATTACGTCTTTCTGCTCAGCCCTGTGGGGCACACCAATCATTCCAACTATCTTCAGACAGGATAACAGCAAAAGATTATTACCATAACTGGCACAAATTGCTATTACGACTAACAATGTCCACAATATAAATAAGCTTAATTGAATTCTTAGAGACTGAAATCACCAGCAATTTTATAACCTCAGGCATGACATTGTGCTTAAGTCTTATTGTACTATGCACAATATGGTGCTGTTTTTGTTGTACCAGCGAAATGAATATGACATCTGTTCATCCATCCATCCATCCAACAATTTTCCAGTGACTTATCTGGTACAGAATCGTGAGGAACCTGGAACCTGAATCTCTCATAGTACACAAAGCAGGGGAAAGTCCAAACTGAGATGTCGGTCTAATTTCCTAATGGAGAATACTTATTAAATCACTGACAAAACAGACTCATTATATAAAAACAGATTCTGAAAGAAATATTTAGGTAAAAACAATATAGAACCAATAGCGTGTTGGTGACTTCGTTTCCACTGTAACTGCACTGTCAGCACACATTCAGTAATAGTACAAGAACTACAACTAAGGTACTGGTTGCGGAAATGTAAATTATTCCAAAAGTTAAAAATTACCTTTCAAACTTCTCGCTGTTATTGGTTCTTCCTTGCTGAATTACATGAACAAAGTCATAGGTCAAAATGAATGGCACTCGTTCTCTATTGATGCCAAACTTGCTCTTAAAGTTTCCAAGGAAGTGTCCAAAATCAATGTGAAACAGCTGCAAAAGACAATGTTTAATTTAAAGATAAGTCAATAAGACGAAAGGTAATTAGCATTATTATAATAAGCATTGTTAAATACACAATTTTACTGCAAGGAATGAAAATTATTTAGCCCCCAATTATGATGTTACCCTTTGACCTTTTATGTTACTCAATGCAACATGAATCTAATGTACAATGTTATGGTAAAGAGACAGTAGTGTTACAAAAAAAATAAAGATCTCAGTCAATCCCACCTGGCCCGTCTCCCTGATCATTATATTGTCACTATGTCTGTCACCAATTCCCAAAACATAAGTGGCTACACAGTAGCCAGCACAGGACAGAGTGAATTCCTCAATGGCTTGATCCAGTTTATCTCTGTAAACAAAAGGGATAAGAAACAAAGTAGATCAGATATTTTAAGCTGCAGTGTTGCCCTGAGCTCAGTCCTGGATCCATCTGTCTGTTTAAAGGTGAAAGTTGAGCATGTTCCAAATTGGATCATTTTATATTCACTACTGAGGTGAAACTCTTACTATGACACTCTTATACTTTTTTTTGTTAATGAGCTATGCAACAGTGAATTATGATACATATGCAGCGTTTAAATATAATATTAATGCTTCTGAAGCATAACAGAAGGTCCACACAGTGCTTGTCTCAAGTCAAACAAAGGCTCACCCTGGATTTTTGGACTTCAGCCAGTTGAGCAGAGCGTCCTTGTTGAACGCTGCTGTTGCAGCGTTATTGCTGTTGTTACGCTGAATGTTGGCGATGGTGTCTGAGTTCTTCACCACCTCGATCAGGCCCGTCTTGTTTCCAGTCGAGAGACACCCATAAGGGATCATCCTGCAATCCAAATCATGAAAAGGAATGAAGAGACCAGAATTAGGAATTAAGTAACTTCCCAAGAAGCAATGCTGTAATATCTGAATAGATAACTGCAGTATCCACTAACCTCAGGTCCAGTCCCTCTTTTTTCCAAAGAATCTCCATCAACTCTATCATTTGGAGAGTCAACATGTCTTGTCGAAGGTCTGAGGTAAGAGAGGGTGTTGAAAATTGATTTTTGAATAGATATCAGCAGGGGGAAGGATAGAAAGTTTGCCCTGGGTCCCCACCCCAAAGCTGAAGGCATGAGCCAAGCCCCCTAACCCTAACCCTAACCCTAACCCGACCCCAACCTGGATAAAAAAATCAGGGTTTCAACTCCATCCATGGCTACTCCTGGCTAACAGCATTCCACAAGACATAATTCTGTCGAAAAACATAGATAGACACTAGACTGTCTGTGGATCTGCCCAATTCACCTCTTTCATGAATAAGCCTTTTTGATTCCTAGCCTGCTGTTTTTGTTCATTCTCCCTCACATTCACCAAGTTTCAATTGTCTGAAATTGTACAAATCCTTCTTTTAAGCAAATGAAGTGGGTTTAACAGGTGAAATCAATTATGGATAATGGCTTTTACATCATAACATCTGGATACATCTAATTAAACAAATACGTGTAGCGTATACAAATACATGCGCATATATGAATAATTAAGTCATAGATTTATCCATTTTCTGTAACTGATTGCCCTGTTCAGGGTCATCTGGAGCTTATGGGTGCAAGGCAGGGACAGACCAGGATGCTGTGCCAAATAGCAATAGTTAACATAGATGTTCAAGTGCTTTAGGATTAGTATGTGTTGAATATGTATGTACTCTGGGCCAAAAGAATATGCTTTGAAAAGTACCAGGAGAATTCAAGACTGTGGACAACAAGGTTCATTCTAGGAGGACAATTAGAAGAAGGTTGTCTCTAGCTGGTTTTGTGTCTAGTAGATGCATGAAAAAAACAAACTACTGCTGTCACATCAACAATGGAATGTTTGATGCTGAGTGATTTTTAGTATAGTCGTATGGAGTGACGGATCATGGCTTGAGTAGAGTGCATCTCAGCCACAGTAAAGCATGGAAGAACAGGTGTCATGGTGTGGGAGCGTTTTCAGCTGCTGGTGCTGATTCATGGTGAAAAATCAATCAATGCTGCTGAGTACAGGAGAATATTGCAGAAAGGCTCACTTCCCACAATAGAGACGTTGTTTTCAAAGGAGGAACAATCAATATCAGGTATTTTTCAATGCAATGTTCCTACCCAAAGTGCAAAGACCACCAAGAAGAGGCTTAAGGACAAGTCCATTAGGTTCACCAGGTCAGACTCCATATCTAAACCCTATAGAGAATATTTGGTCTCACATTAAATACAAACTAGCTGTGAAATGCCTTTTCACTAATGATCAACTGTTGGAAGCCGTCAATACTGAGAGAAATTATACAGGCTCGACACAGGGTATCAATGTTTATGGAAATCTAATGCAAAGCCTTTCCTATATTAAGTTGTTGTATCTACTCTATCTATGTATTTTCCAAAAAATTGATTTGTTGTTAGAACCATGATACCATGAACTAAATTTCTTTCAATTTACGCTGGCTTGATCTCAAACTGTATATGCATTTTATGCTTCATATGAAAAAATAAATAAATATAGTTTCTTACCATCTCCATTCTTGAATATAATGCCAAGTGGTTCCCCTTGCACCTTCTCGTTCTTGTAGACCAGCCACAGCGGCTTCATCTTAGAATCCATGTACTTGCATATGTCTGGACTATGGAACACAGTGAAGGTTTATGATGTTATAATAATGTTCAAAAATAAAACTTACAGAAAATGTCTGCGAATACCAGTCACAGTGTTTGACGCGAATCAATATACAAGAATTAAACGTCATCCGAGCTGCTTAGTAGATACAGGTTGTGGCAGCAATCACATTGTAAGATGGTCACGCTAATTTGCTGACATCGTCAAAAATTTGTCCCATCCTACTTTTGGTCACAAGGTATGTGACAACATTCATGTTTGGACCTCTCTCACAGTGTGATGTAAGACCAAAGATATTGCCACAATTCTTTACATTGGTAATCTTTTGTCTGGGACAGCCAAAAATCACACGATGTATACCAGTCTAACTACTACAGCAATACATAAGAAATAAAGAAAATATAGACCAGTAAGACACCTATTTCAATTCCTAATCAGTGCTGTACATTACTAAGTTTACTAAATTGAACAAAATCAGGTACATCACCTAAGTAATTTACGTTTACCATGTAATAAAAACGCTATGCATCAAACTTGTCATTGTGATGCAGCAATCAAATCAAACTAAACCCATAATGAATTCACACTTAATGAACGCCATTGGTGCACTGCAGCACGCTGTACACCAACAGAAGTGCTACCATAAAAGGGTAAGTTAGCACCACTAAATTAAATTAAAGTTAAATTAAAATCAGCTAAGGGATGACAAGAGCCAGGTACAGAAATCCAGAGGCACGTGGTCACTTTATGTCTGAGATCTGTGTTAACAGCAGTACTGCTGCACACAAGGCTCACAGCTAAGAAGGCTTTTCATCAGTTTTGGTCCAAACACATAATAAACAAGTTAGCTGGTACTGGAATAATTATTGTACTTGTAATCATCATCAGTATCAGTCTAAACAACAGATAAAAGTCTACAAACAGCTGAGGTAGATAACACTATAAGATTACAGATTTTCTGTTACCGGTGTGTTATGTGGAGATACAACGATACTAAGAGAATAATTGGGAGTTCAACACCAGGGGGCACTGTGGTAATAGGAAAGACAAAGGATGCTCAATTGTGTAATACAGTGCCTGCAACAAGCAGCTAGGAACTTATTCTCCACGGTGGACAATTCAGTATTTACTATACTGTACTATACCCTCTAATAGCAACAAGCCATAATCGAGGCGTAAAAGACAAAGGCGTCGCGATGCAGTGGGACGGCTTTGTGCTCTTCTCAAACTGCAGGGGCTCAGGATTGCTCCAGGCCACACAGCTGATGTGGAGAATTTATCCAAAGCTCCCTGCACTTTTAAAATGCAACCAGCTGAGCAGAATCAGGCTTGAATGTTACTGCTGCCGTGTGGATATGCAATTAAGCATAAAATAAAGGGAACACTCATTTTTGAAACTTTGCAAACATAGTATAAACAGACAAAGCCGGACCACCAGATTTTGCAAAACCACTTGGTGAAATGCCCTTTTATAATCTGACCAAAATTAATATCTTATTAGTGACAGTGGACAATTATTTAATGCAGATGCTATATAAATATTAGCACATTTTAATCCTATCACAATTAAAACGTCTATGGCTAATGTAACAAATCGTAATGAACTCCCACCATATTTCAGAGAGGATGAGGCTTGGATTGAGGGGTGACAGCAGATCAGACAGAGCTTCCAGATAAGCTTCTTGCTTGATGCACACCTTCATGTCTCCTGTGGTCTGCGTCCGGGTGCCTTTCTGAGAAGCTGACTTTACAAAGTCATTCAAGGATTTCATCTTGTTTAAAGCTTCATTCTATTGGGCAAAAACGAAAAGTCAAGTGGATCAGCAAGACATTTTAGACAAACAGGGACTGCACTATATTTTTACTAATAAATACTAATACAAAATCCTGAAATCAATCCTATGGTAAATTACAGCTAATGTTTTCAATAAGTAATAGCTGGAAGGATTCTGTGCAGCGATCCATTATCTAAGAACTCCGGTCCTGGTTGTGTTTAATAAACACGGATGCATTGTGAGTGTTAACTCATACAGGCTATAAAACACTTTCTGAAGTGTGCAATTTTTTTTACAAGTCTATGAACCTGCAAAAAGCTATTTGCAAACAGTGTCAGAAAAGTCTTCCCTTTTCAGGCATCAAAACAAACTTGGGCAATAATTTTAATAGATGGAAACCTTCTGCTTGCACAAGCAAAGCAAAATTATCAGGGTCAGTGGCACAACAACATCTGCCATCTAATTTTGGGAAAAGGTTTGAGCGATGTAGATATAAATACATCACAAAAAAGACTGTGGATGTTGTGATGGAAGGTTTGACTATGACAATAGTAGAGGGAGAGTCTTTTAATAAATTAACCACAGCATTAGCCCTACAGACTCAGACCCAATCTAGAAAGACAGCATTGAAAATGATGTGGAACGATGTGGAACGATGTGTAGAATGACTGGAGAACAAGATCTAAGCAGGTTAAATAAAATAATTACATACTGAATTGTACAATGAAGTGTGGGTGTGCAGTTTTAAACAAAAATAACAACAACAATGATAATAGTAATAATAAAATAATAAATTGTTAATAAGTTAACTGATAATTGTTATTTATCAGTTTTTCCAAATTGGTTATTTCCCCAGCCCTAGTAAATCACGACCAAATTCATAAGGATTTTTTCTTTGTCTCAGATTTTGACTGCATAAATGAAAGAATTAAAAGAAACATTTTGGTAATGCTGTACGTCCAGGTCTCACCTGTTTCATTAAAGCCTTCATGTGGTAGATGCTCCCCCGGCAGTAGGCCTCCAGAATGAGCCCAAAGCACAGGCCTACTGAAGGCACATGCATTTCTGACCTGCGGAGACCACAGGCCGGCTAAGTCAACTACCACCGTTTCCATTCCCAATAATCACGGGAAACTACAATGGCATCTGTAACATCAATGTTTCTCGATTCAACATACTATTTTGTCTAACAAATTCAAAGTCTGGGTTTAAATATAAGACATACGCTAATTGTCCAAAACAATCAGTGACCCAGGCTAATAGACAGACACACTTAAAATATTAAATTGCACTCCACTTTGACAATAAAACAGTATTCCATTGATAGACATCGATGGATTGGATATATTTTTGTCAGTACGCAAAGAGGATGAAAATGCATGTGAGAACAGAAAGAACAAATCAGTCTTCATTATTTAAATACGCTTTACGTTATAAATGTACCTTAAATGCCAAAACAAGAAATGTCCAATCTTCCTGTTGGAAAGGGATCTTTGTAGGAGGAATTTTGACAATTCGCAGTCAAGGTAAGGCTCATACTTCAGGACTTGAACCAGCTGGAGCAAATACTGGAAAAGCTCATTATCACTGAAAAAGAACAGAAGAATATAGATTAACATGGTACAAATGTCTGTTTTTAGGCACTTGTATTTCCAATGTCACACAATAAAAATTATATTACTATTATTATTATAATATTATATTATGTTAAATTATGTTACAAATTGGAATTGTGTGCTGTCTATTATTGTTTGTATTGTATTGTTTTTTGATTCTGTTACTGCACTTTGCAGTGTCTTATGTTGGGGTAAATCCTGCCAACTGCCTTGTGCAACTGCACAAATCATACAGAAGTTTACATCTCTGCACTATTTATTTTCTTTGCACTGTTTATTTACTGCCTGTTTGCACTCTGCATGCCCTGTTACTGTGATGTTACGTGTATTATATGTTACTGTGTATTGCACTTGGGGCAGCATGTGGCTCATTGGGCTAAGCCTATGTGCCTGTAATCGCAAGGTTGCCAGTCCAAACCCAGACTCAGCATGTCTGTGGGTCCTTGAGCAAGGCCCTTAACCCCCAGCTCCCTGGGTGCCCCAACAGGTGGCTGCCCTTCACGGACAACTTACTCTACAAAGAGCAAGTTGAGGGAGGCGTAAAAAAGAATTTCCCCATGGGGACAATAAAAGATTGATTATTATTATGGAGAAACATTGTTTCATCACTCTTTGTACATGCATGAAGCTGCTGATGACAATAAAGTAACCTGAACCTTGATATTAGATATAGTTATAAGTAAAACTATATTTACAAAGGGATTGTCACATTTCTATCATAGTTTAGACTCAATAGTCTCCCTCTCCTAGTACCCTATATGCTATTTTGCTTTTGTGCTGACTCACTTTATTGTTAAATGAATAACTGAACAAATTCTTGTCATATACATTAAGTTGCCACTGTATTAGGGACACCTGTACACATGTTCCTTCATGTGAATACATAATCAGCCAATCAAATGTCAGCTGAACAATGCATAACATTATGCTGGTGTGGGTCAAGGGCTTCAGCTAATGGTCAGATCAAACATCAGAATGGGGAAGAAATGTGATCCAAGTGACTTTGAGCCATGGCATGGTGGTTGGTGCCAGAGAGGATAGTCTGAGTATTTCAGACACTGGCAATCTCCTAGGATTTGCATGTAGAGCAGTTTTAGAATCCACAAAGAATGTTGTGGAAAAGAAACAAATCCAGTGAGGAGTAGTTCTGTGGGTGGATATCAGCCTTGTGTATGAGAGGTCAAAGGAAATGGCAAAGCTGGTTTTGAGCTGACAGGAAGGCAGTGACTCAGCTACTATTTACAACAGTGGTGAGCTGAAAAGCATCTCTGAAAATATTGAACCATGAGGAGGATGGACTTTAACAGCAGAAGATCACATTGGGTTCTGTTCCTGTTGACTAAAATGAGGAATTTGAGGCCACTGCGGGCTCACTGAAACTGGACTTTTGAAGACTGAAAAAAGGGTGCTGCTCTGATGAATCTCGGTTTGAGGCCACTGCAGGCTCACTGAAACTGGACTTTTGAAGACTGAAAAAAGGGTGCCTGGTCTGATGAAATCTTGGTTTGAGGCCAC